AGCATTTGCTTTTCCCCTCCCCGCCCCCCCCCTCCCGCTGAAGGTTACCTATCTACCTAGGCTTTGCCCTGTCTCAAATCTCCAGGCATTACTCTTCAAACCTTTTGGCCCACGCTCCTCCCAAGCCTCATATTATGTTGTTTCTACCCATCAGGCTCTAAATGTTTGCATCAACTTTCACGACAAACTCTCTGCAACCAAGGTAGTTCCCCAGCCAAAGACTCAGCAGTACTGCAAGTGCCATCGGAGTTGTCTCTCCACCATCCCTTCTTGCCTGAGGACTGTGGGGAAATGCCTTCTCCCCTCAGGTCCTAGCCCTGCCAGCCTCCGTCACGCAGGAAGGGCTCCTTTCCACCTGAGATACTCACCTTTTGCTATCACTTTACCCCAGGGCCCCTTTCTGGGGAAGCAAAAGGAAAGCAATGAAGAGATGAGATCTTCCTGAGCCTTCTCTTGACATGTTTAATTCCCTTCTCCCTCATCCCTCATTCCACTTGTATTTTGCTGGTCCTTATGTTTTTATCCATATCACTGTTGAACTTTTTTTAAAAAAAAAAAACAGTAATTCTCAGCGTCTACAACCAGTGTGTTCTGATCTCATCAAGCTACTGCAGTTTACACAATTTGATTGCTTCAAGTGAATTATTTTAAAAGAAAAAGCTTCCAACATTTTGGATGATATACTGAGCTTTGAGTCTTCAAGTCTGGCATCTAATGTTCACAATGTTTATCTGAATATCAAGCCATACTTTAAAAGCTATATAATAGTAGTAGATAAAGCATTACAGGAAATTGTTTCTATCCTCATACTGTAGCTAACTTGCTCCATAATAATATGGTTCACAACTTACAGTTTATTTTAACAAATCCCATAAAAATCCTCTGATGTGCTCAAGACTCTATCAGCTATACGACTTAATGATCAATTCACCAAAAGGTATCAACAGAATTTTTAAAATCTGCAGTGGAGGTGGATAAATGCACAAACCCCTGTCAGAATATTAGCTGTTTACAACCTCACAATCCCAAAGGAATGCTGTATGACACAAAACAAGTCACCTGCCTCACTTTTATTCACTACAAATGGCAAAACTACCAGTATTTTACTTTCAGATGCTCGAAAAACGTTTACTCAGTAAGTTAATTAAAACAAAACAGAGCAGTTAAGGGCCAGAGCATCTTTCCTCATATAAAGCTGCCCCAAATGTAAGCCCAAATGATACCTTACCATCGCCCTGTGATGATCCCAGCATAAGGACAGCCACATATAGCTGGCACGCAGAGGCCGGCTTCCTCTGTAATCCAGGACTGACTGTAAGCGACTGAGGGCCTCCAGAGTTAAATCCTATGATACTGGAAATTTATTTTTCAGACTTTTACAAAGGCATCCCACACAACTGCCCTCCTGCTAACAGCTGAATTAGTGCAAAACAGACGATGACAATAGCTCGAGCACTAACACTTTAATATTCTGAATGCAACTGTCTTCCCAAAACAGCACCTCTGTGGCTTGTCATTCACACTACCTGGTGTGGTACAAGCTTGTCAATACTGAACTGGAATGCCAGCCTCAAACCTACTCTGGCCTTTTTAGTTTAGCAGAGTGTTAAGATCCAAGCATCAAGACTCTCTGGGGCTGCGGAGGAAGACTCCTAACCCTATGCCCATGAAGCAGCACTACACCGTTACCACAGCTAGACCTACACTCAAAAATGCAGAACCAGGAGCCCTCTGCTCTTGGGTACAACCTCTCACTGCCAAACCAGAGCCACTATTAACATGCCTAAAGTGAGGTCAAAGATTAAAAGCTTTCGCTGAATATAATGAGAGATACTTGACACTGACAGGCAAATGACCTGAGATAACTCCCCGCAGGTAATTCAATAATGGAAGAAACCTAAGTATTTTGTTAAAAGTTAACAAATATATATCAGCTCCTTTCCCCAAATAAGGTTTCTGTTAATTTACTGAAGAGCAAGACATTCAAATATAATGCTTGACAAATATTCAGCAGACTGCACAGCCCCACCACACTCACAGCAGCCTCAGCTGCTCCCCTCTTGGGGCCAAGAGAGGAGAGGAAGCACAACTATTCAAATGCCATCACAGATACCTTACCAAACACAACACATAGAGCAGCACACCAGTGGCTGCCCTGAATTTCTCCAAATGTTCCATAAACAAAATAACTTCTGCCTTTAAAGTAGCAAATATAAAGAAATGCTTAAGTACTAATTCTGAATTTACACCACTGGGCAGAGGTATAGGGAGCTTGTAGCCCACCTTCTCAGATACATACTTCACAAAGTCCCAACTAAAGGAAAAGAGTGCTGCCTGGTGTATCCCACACTCCTATATACTCCCCAACCATCCACACACACTGATTATGTGCTAGCTCTGACCCCACTCACATGCCCAGGCTTCCATCCAAAGGAAACCCAGACACACAGTGCAAAGACACGTTAACTGCTGTGGTCTAACTTGGCCGGCTACTAAATACTACGCAGCCACTCGCTAACCCT